ACTCGGCTCCCAGTTAAGCTGGCCGAACGCCTACTACTGTTGATCGGCTACACGTTGAACTCCTCGGACAAGCTTAAGACGGTGCTTCTCAGTGGATACAAGGCACTTTGGGACTAGCTGTGGGGATATAACCCCGGATACCCATAGGGCTGCACATGGGCCAAGCCGCTAGGGGAGGCCCAACCCACAAGATCAAGCGCGGCGTGCACCATAGGACTATGTGAAGATCCTTGACCATGAAGGAAAATATATTCAGATATGCTAGATACCGCAATCTTTATAATCCTTATCATGTAAACCGATCAGGGTACATTCAACCGACCTGTAACCCTACCCCCCATGCTATATAAGGCAGGTAGGGACCCTCTCATTTTCATCCTCATAACAATATACAATCCACCAAAGACACAGGACGTAGGGTATTACATCACACTTATGGTCTGAACCTGCCTAAATTGTTGTCTCTGCGTTCTGTGTCACCATCTATTTTGTATCTCACGCACCTCCACCGATTCATCTACTACCATGGGCATACCCCCTCGATAGACTGTCAGCCATATTTTGTCGACACGGGCCCTCACGCGTTGACCACAAGGCCTCACCAGGCCCCTGCTAACCACGCCATGGCCTAGCGTTGCTGCCGGACAGCGTGAGCCACCAGTGCTCGGCCGTGACGCCTTGTCGGGACTCCTGACCTCACGAGCCACCCGCGAGTCGGATGCGATGCCTGGTGGGGCCACCGCGAGACCTCATGCACCGTCACTGCCCAGCGCAGGACCTCATTTCTAGCGTGGCAGCCAACAGATCCTGGCACGACATGGGAGCTCGCGCGCCACCACTGCCCAATGTGGCCACGAACCGACCACGCCGCCGTGTGAGATCGCACCTAGCGCATCCACATAGACACTCGCGGCACAGGATTCAGATGAATGGGAGAGGAGAGGTGAATGATTGGTGTGATTTTTTGGCTGGGCCCTTTAAGAAATCCTACGTTGGAGAGGATAATTTCTATGAGTGGTTTCTTGTGGCATAGAAACTACTAGGTAGTTTTTGCACAATGAGTGCCTTAAGATACTAGGAAGGATGATACGTGTATTGCTACCTGTATTAGAGATGAAATTATACTACTTATGTTTTCTTATACGAACGGATAAATGTCATAATGCATGATAGTGGATGATATAGACTCTAGTGTGGACGAGGTGCTCATATGGGTATGTTTGCGTACATGTGTCCACAGGGGTGAGTGTGAGTGCGTGTTGTGGATGTCTTTTGTACTGTGTAATTCTCAAGAAAAATGTGGACAACTAATTATAAATATATGTTAGTGAATAATATTGCTTAATGATGTGAATAGCTTAAAGAAAGACATAATCGTATGTGCTAGTGGATACTGAATGCTAGTGGAGATTGAAAATATAAAATATATATATATATAGATACAAATACATATATAAATATAGATATTGATATATTTTTTCTATACTTGTTTCTACATGTCTTTAATTGTTTCATAGAGATGATTGCGGTTAGTCACCCCCAAGAAAACGAATTTCCTTGATTGCCGACTCATTTTCTTGTTGTTTTGGTAATCTAGTGTATGTCCATATTTTTCTTGGCAGTTGACAATCAAGGAAAACTTCTTTCAGGGCTAACCACAAAGGAAATTCTATTTTCTTTGTCATCTAGCCTTGGCGGTTCATGCTTGAAGGTTGACCGCCAATGACTTTTTCCTTGGCAGTTTTTCTATATTCCTTGGCGGTTTTTGGCCGCCAAGGAAATTCTGTTATGTGGTAGTGGTTCATAGGGGTGAGTGTGAGTGCGTGTTGTGGACGTCTTTTGTACTGTATAATTCTCAAGAAAAATGTGGACAACTAATTATAAATACATGTTAGTGAATAATGTTGCTTAATGATGTGAATAGCTTGAAGAAAGATATAATTGTATGTGCTAGCGGATACTGAATGCTAGTGGAGATTGAAAATATAAAAGATATAGATATAGATATAAATATAGATATAGATATTTTTTTCTATACTTGTTTCTACATATTTTTAATTGTTTCATAGAGATGATTACACTTGATTTTTAGGATCATTGTGACCGTTTTTAGCCCTAGAGCGAGAAAGGGATGGTTTTGTAGCTCCATTTCTAGTAATTCATACAGAAATCAAACTAATATTTTTTAAATTTAATTTAAAATTTAGAATTACTTTTAAGAGAACAATTAAGTTTAAAATAAGGATTTACATGAACTCATAATTACCACAAAATTATGGTTCGAATCTTGGTCTAATCAATTTTGATTGTAATTTTTTATGAACTTTGTTGGTCTGGATGCTTTTTAGTATCTTTATTGAAGACGGGTGTTTTGAAACATGAGAAGTGTTTCAAGTAATTAACAATGTCTATGGCAACATTACTTGATTAATTATGATTCGAACACATCTGTATATTGGTCTTTATTCAATATAATATGGACAAAAGCGTGTTTAATTTCGAACATCACATGCACAAAGAAAAGTTATTTTAATCTAGATTGTATGTGTCATAAATTTTGTTTTAAATCTAGACCATTAGATCATCATAAGTCTAACTATGTATATTTTTCTTTTTTCTGATTTTGTTTCATACTTCTAGGAAATCTAACTATGTATATTTTTTTTCTTTTTCTGATTTGTCTCATATTTCTAGTAAATCTAGACTGTTAGATCATCATAGCATTCAATATCTTGTCTTTTTTATTAATCTCGTAATTTCTAGACGTTCTCCGGTCTATTTGACTATAGAAAAATGTTTAAACAAAGGATTTTCTGGCTATTTCTTTTTCGTGAACATGGTTATGAATGTATTTCATTAAGTGAATAGCAGGGATTACAAAGCATCACTTTCATATGAGCGAGATGCCCACATTTGGTGATGCCGAACAAGCGAGAAAAAGAAACACGGAGAGGAAAGCACAGCTTTAGTGCTACATCTTTGCCATAATACGCGACTGCAGAAGGTCCACTATCTTGCTCCCGGAGCACCTAGCGGCGACAGGGCCGACATGCCTGCTGCTACCTATTCGTTTGCCCCTCCGCCGGATGCACCAACCCAAGGCAAGAACCCGTCCGTTCGCTTTGCTGAAAAGACAAGCTGAAAAATATTATTGACTGATTTATTGTGAAAGGAAAACATAAACAGAGCTATAGTCAAATCCCACTGCACTCGACACGCGCGGCCATTAAGACCACGGACGTTCCACATTCCACACCAACAAGATTTGTGCTAACATGGCAAACCAGTGTTGCGACTCTTGTGCTAACATGGCACACGTGTCCTCTTGCCCCCAGAGCAGAGCGAAGCCTTGTCGGGAACAGCTCGTACATTGCAGCCCGCTTCGCCGAGGACAGCGGCTCCTCGTAGTGCCTTCTCCGTGGGACGATCGTGTCATCCCGCTGCTTGGACAGCCGTGTTTTCTTGGGCGTGGCCAGCAACGCACCCGTGATCGGCAGACGCATGCCGTCCACGAACTCTTGCAATGTCGACGGCCTGGTCACTTGGACCGTTTCGACCTCTGGCGGCCCATGCACGCTCTCTGCCGGGGCCGGGCTCGCAGCTTAGATGCCTAGATGGTAGGCTGAAAATAAAGCCCAGGCAGCAGCGTCATCTTCCACCACCACCGGCTCGACTTGGGTCTCGACTGTCCCGACGTCGCTGACAGCTGGGCGATCAGCCAACAGCTGCGGCTGGAAAGCAGCATCCCACAATGCATGGCACTATCGTCCAACACTGCCCGCGTAAAAGGCGACAGGAGGAATTACCCGAATCGTCCAAGGACCGTCGAAGGCAGGCAGTCTCGCCGTGCTCGTTGGCAACCATGTCAGGCCGGTGAACTGGCGCGAGCCTCCCCAGTCCTGCGCTTGTTCCCAGTCCTGCAAGGGCAAGAAGAGACAGGGATCCGAGCTCATCGACCTCGCTCGCTTTCTCCTTTTCTTCAATCTTCAGGAACGGACAAGACAAGGCAGTCCTAGCCTGAAGCAGCATCGGGTCCTCCCTCAGTGGTTCAGGGTCACCCAGGATGCTGACGACGGTGAACTCGCACTCTTGTACCGTAGCGACCGGCTGGCCTGCTTTCCCCGGCGCTCCCGCCGGTGAACTGGCGCGAGCCTCCACCACGGCCTTCTCGGGCAGAGCGCGGACAGCCTTTGGCCGTGCAGACAACGGTCGCCGGCCAGCACCCAGCAGTTTGAACTGGGGCAACGCACCGTGCCAATCAACACCGTTGATGCCACCTTCTGGAAAGCGGGCCATTTTGCTGGCTATTTCATCACATCATATTGTTGTTCCCAAAAATGTCATATAAGCAATACTACTTTGTTTATGATGAAAGGAGTACAACAATATGACACCTTGCATTGCAAATAGCCGGTGTGTGCGTTTCCCCGGACCGGCCCGTTAAACAAAACTGAACACAGGCCAAGTAGCGCGGCACAGAACATGAGCAAGAGCCCACGCGTGTAAATACAATTACCAGTGCTACTTAATACAAGTAAATGCGCATGAGCACGAACACCGGAGCAATGAATGTTGGGACGATGATCGAGAGCGTTTCCCCGGCCCGCCGCCGCCGTGAGAATGAATGAGCGAGCGAGTTCATCTCATCATGGATGGGCTCGGGAAGCCGCGCGCGTGCCCACCACTATCGCTACGCCTGCATGCGCGCATGCAATACAAGCAAATGCGAGCAGTTAATGGCCGGCTCGATCGGTTTTTGCAGCCAAAATCCACCAAAGATCTCCATCTCCCCGCAATTACTGCGCCACTTCTCCCTTTCCCATCATCTCCGATCCTCACCCTGATCGATCCGCCTCTCTCCATGAATCTATCTATCTGGTCATCATCCCAGAGTATATAACAAGTGTTCTACTATATAGTTCCTGCCATTGCCGCGCTACCTGGTCATCCTTCCCTCCTGCACATCAATAGCTAGCTCTTCGTCCGTTGCTGCTTGCCACATGTCAACAATGGCGATGGCGCCATGCGACGGCGACGCCGACTGGTGCCACGTGCTGGGGGACTTCAACTTCAACCTGCTGTTGTGTTCGTCGTCGTCCTCGCAGCACGCCATGGCCAGCAGCAGGTCAGTTTATTGGAGCGCCTCTGTATCTCGTGCACGCGCATCTGATTTAATTTTGACAGTCCAGCAGGCCAGGTTTGCTTCGCCTGACGGCTCTCGATCGACCTTCATCTCCTCGCTCCTTCCTGATGTCAGGGCGGGAGATTGTCTGCCGATCGCCGCCGCTGCTCCTCCCGGACCCGGTGGTCCTCACCTGCAGAGATGCAAAAGCGAAGTCCTCGAAGCCCCTTCGGGTGGCGCGTTTGCTGCGGCCGACTGCTTCTCGTCGGCTCTGATGAACCTGCAGAGGTCAGTTCTTTCGTTGTTCCAACAATCAGCCATAATAAGGCCGGTCACATATATTGGACATGTGCATGAATCTAGCTTGTTCAGTCGTTGTTTCGCGCCATGCCGATTGCCGAGCTCGTTCTTGAGTACTGATCGATGACAAGTACTCTCGGCACGTTGCAGGGAGGACAGTTTCTACATGCCCATGTACTCTGCGGCGTCTGCGCCACTGCCAGCAGTCGTCGGTGATCCGTACTGCTCCGACCAACTCCCACCCCTACCTGCCGACGGCACACTAACCAGCCTTGACGACGCGCTCCTGCTGGCGCCGCTCAGCGACATTGATCTTGCGGCCTTCGACAATAGTGCCGAAGAGCAGAAGCCTCCACTCGATAAAATGGTTATGATCCCGCCGGCGGTTCATCATCATCCCGCCGCCGCCGGGACGCGAACCCCACCAATCCACGGTACGACCGTTGGCCAAAATGCAGGTGTCGTCGTACATGCTCATCAGAAAAAGGCCATGGCCATCGACGACGACTACTGTTTCCGACGAGGAGGAGCCAGCGGTGTCGAGACGGCCGTCGTCGGGCATCATGACGAGCGTCGTCAAGCAGGCTCTGCCGTGGCGCTGGTCCCGCTGCCGCCGCCGCAGCCTCTTCCGCCGCCGTCACTGCCACGGCCGCGTCCAAGGAGAAGCGGCGGCGACCGGTCAGCTCCGGCGGGGAAGACGAGGCTGGACCACATCGGCTTCGACGAGCTGCGCAAGTACTTCTACATGCCCATCACCAGGGCGGCCAGGGAGATGAACGTCGGGCTCACCGTGCTCAAGAAGCGCTGCCGCGAGCTCGGCGTGGCGCGGTGGCCTCACCGGAAGATGAAGAGCCTCAAGTCCCTCATGGCCAACGTCCAGGTGACGATCAGAGCACACCTTTTTTTCCCCCTGATGCACGATCAAATCATGCATGCATAGTGCATGCAGAAAACGCACGATCGATGATTCCGCATTACCCTGCCAATAATCACCATTAATTCATCGCATCTATCAAGCCACGTCGTCCTGAATGCAAGCTGCATGCGTGGATGCGTGCGTGCAGGAAATGGGGAACGGCATGTCCCCGGTGGCCGTGCAGCAGGAGCTCGCAGCGCTGGAGACGTACTGCGCACTCATGGAGGAGAACCCCTGGATCGAGCTCACGGACCGGACCAAGAAGCTGCGGCAGGCGTGCTTCAAGGAGAGCTACAAGCGGAGGAGGGCGGCCGCAGTCAGCGTCATGGAGATGGATCACATCTACAGCTTTGGCCAGCAGCATTGTCATCACCACCAGCTGCCTCCGCCGACTAGCAGTGCTGATGACCGCCATGGCCAGCAGAGCAGCCGTTTCTTTGGCTACTGAAAGATCGATAAGCGACGTACGTACGTATACAAAGGACGAAGAACTCTTGACATGGGGATATACACTATGATGACTAGGAGATTGGTGATAGATATTGTTAACTGTTCATGAGTGCAACAGTCATGTTTTCATTTCTGTTTGCATGGGTAAAGTGGGACGAATATATACGTAGTCTTATCGAGAACAAGAAGCATCTATCAGCTGTGGCCTGTGGCTTGTCTATGTATATATATAGAGTAACCCTTTTAAGTACTAAATGATGCATGATTCATCTGATCTACTATCAAAAAATGGTTCGATTGATTTCTACACATACACATTGGTTGAATGATATTTTTTCCTTTCTCAAAATACTTGATTTTCCAGAATTTTTATTCTCAGTCTCGATCATTTAGTTGATTAACCTCGTTTTCCCTTGAAATTAATTAAACGAACTTGTGTAGTGTCGTCGTAACAGACTATATTGTAACTAATATTATTGCATCGGTTCACTGAATCACGAGCATACAGCGTGCACCCTGAACACAAATTATTGTTCAAAACATTTTTGAAGCCATTGTACAGATCGTGCAGTGAACTTGATTGCTCAAAATTTTGTTTACTACTAGCTAGATGCTGTCATGAGCCACATTCAAGTCAGTGGCCACATTTTATTTCTTCTTTGTTGAATTCTTTTACTATCGTACAAATCATAGCCAGAGCAGTACACATACTTATAGGCATAAAAGAACCACTGTACCTCCATTTCCTTTTATACGGCACACACTTATATAAACATTCAAACGACTTTAAGATCTTTTAGTCTTCTACTAATAATTTGGCTAATAACTTTTATCTATTATCATACTAACTTGATACAGTGAGATTTGTAAGCAACTGTGCTACCAAATAGTCATAAGTTTATAGGCATGAACAATGTAATATAAAGTGGACTTTGAGGCATTGGGGCTCCCTTCACTCGACCTTTCAGAGCTTAATGCTCCTTTTACCGAGGAGGAAATTTGGGGGATCATTCGCAATATGCCAGCAGATAAGGCCCCTGGGCCTGATGGATTAACTAGTCGCTTTTACAAGGCCGGTCGCTTGGTATGTAATCAAACATGATGTGAGGAATGCGTTTGCGGCCTTGTCAAATTTGGATACCTGCAGTTTCTATCTAGTGAATGCCGTCCTATCTAAATCCTTGGAGCCGAAGGGGATAGGTGACTACCGTCCTATCAATCTCATCCACAGCTTTGAGAAATTGGTCTCAAAAGCCCTTGCTAATAGGGTCGCACCTCGGTTTAGTGCGATGATTTTGCCCAACCAGAGCCCTTTTATGAAAGGTCATCAAATACACGACAACTTCCGTTATGTCCATGGCATGGCCAAGGCATTGCATGCGAGGAAGTAGCCTTGCATTCTCTAAGATTAACATCGCCAAAGATTTTGACTCGGTGTCTTGGCCTTTCTTGCTTGAGGTCCTAGAGCATCTTGGGTTCTCTAGAGTTTAGACTAATTGGATTTTGGTGCTCCTCTCCTCTGCAAGCACCAAGGTCATGGTTAGTGGCATCTAGAGGAACAGGATCTGTCATGCCCGAGGACTTCACCAGGGGGACCCTATACCCGATACTCTTCCTCATGGTCATGGAATGCCTCCACCTCCTTATCTAGCGTGCAGATGAAAGGGCCCTACTTCAACCATTGGATCTCTGGTCCATCACTCATAGGGCATCGCTTTATATATGTGGATGATGTTGTTGTGTTCTTGTCACCGGTCGCCTCGGACATTGTGACGTTCCAGTCCATCCTTTCATGCTTTGAGAGGGCAAGTTGAGTTTCAACAAACCTTGCCAAGTGTAGTGTTACACCAATCCATTGTGGTCCAGATGAGGTGGAGACCATTCAGAGTCTTTTATGTTGCCCCATCAGTAACTTCCCATGCATGTACCTGGGCACTCCTCTGTCGATCACGCATTTGCCTAAATCATCTGTTCAACCATGAGTAGACAGGGTTGCAGACTGGTTGCCACCTTGGAAAGCTAGGCTCCTAAACAGGTTGGGTCGTCTCATCCTCACCAAGTCGACGTTCACCGCCATAGTACTGATCCATATCTCCATTTTGGTCGAGCTACAAGCTTGGGCTATACGTGCCATCGATAAGATCCGCAACGCATTCCTTTGGGGCAGAATAGAGGTAGTGAATTGTGGGCACTATTTTGTGGCACGAACAAAGGCTTACAGACCTATGAAGTTGGGCGGACTCGGCCCCCATGACCTAAAGCTTCTAGGCTTCGCGCTTTGGACGCTGCATTGGGAGTGGCTCCGGCGCACGGACTTACCAAAGTCCTCGCAGGGGTCTCGGTCACACATGAACAAAGTAGCTGCAGCCGTGTTCGAGGCCGCCTCTCTTTCAGTGGGGGTTGGGAATGGGCCTTGCACTCTATTTTGGAGAGATAAATGGTTAGACAATCGCTCCATCTTCGACATTGCACCTACACTTCATACTCTGGTTAGTATGCGTATTCGCAACTCCCGTACAGTTAAGGAGGCGCTCTCCAACCATCGTTGGGTATGAGATATCTCCGGAGGGCTTTTCTGTTCGTGCAATTTTGGATTATTTGCACATCTAGGATTTGGTGGAACGCACGACCCTCTCGGACACACCAGACACTTTCTTGTGGAATTGGACAGGTGATGCTCAATACTCAACCTCGAGTGCCTATAGATCCTTTTTCATGGGGCCAAACAACAATCCTCGCCGCAAAATAGCTTTGGAAGGTGCGGACACCAAACAATTGCAAATTCTTTATGTGGCTGGTCCTTCTTGGTCGTTTTTGGATGTCTGAGAGGTTGCAAAGACATGGGTTGCCTAATAGAGGGAATTGCGTGCTTTATTCACAACAACCTGAGACACTTCGATCGACACCTACTGCTTAATTGTGTTTTTAGCAGGGAAACATGGTTCGGGCCTCTAAGAGCATTTGAGTTACAATCCCAGAACTAGCTGCCATCCTCAGAATAATCTTCCTGGGCAGACTGGTGGCTTCAGGTAAGAAAGTCAATCCCGAAGCCTCGACATCGAATGTTTGATTCCCTAGTCGTCCTAATCACTTAGACACTGCGAACACAAGGTTGACAAGTACCCTTGTGTGTTCGTTTTGTGATGAGTGATTGTCAATGTGATCCACGAAGTAGGTTGAGTGGTGACTAACCCTACCATGGCGAAAGCTATGTGTGCGACATGTCTTTTGGCTTGTGTTGTGCACGTGTGGAGCTCGGATGCGGTGGTCGACGGCGAGGTGAAGGTCAAGGAGGACGTGCCGTGCCGACAGACCGGGAGCGGTGAAGGACGGATGTGAGGCTTGGACCGAGGGACCCAGAGGCTGGGTGACTAGCCGCGGTGGCTGACACTTGGGACATCGACAAGTGCAAGAAGACATGGAGTGACGGTGTTGACCGGGTCAAGACGGCGGACGCGTGAGTCGAGCGAGGCTCAGGAGGACTTGGCGGGCCGGCCGGTCGAGGACGGCGGTGACACGCGTTGGATGGCGGGGGACGCGTATGGAGTACGCTACTCGCGGACGGTTTGATGGTTTGGGCCTCAAAACCATCAGATGGACGGTTTGATGGTTTGGGCCTTAAAACCATCGGATGGACGGTTTACGGGTTTGGGTCTCAAAACCCGGGCGGAGGTTCCGAGGAGGGACGGACGGCACGTGGCGGCATCGGGGAGTTCGTGTCGAGGCGAAGCTACCGATGAGAAGGCGCGGTGGCCGTCGGATCAAGATTACACCGGGTTGGACAACAACGCCCTTGGGCTTAGCGGTTCAACTCATTTGTATCCAGGGGCAAAGCGGGAATGTGTAATAGTACATTAAATAGGATGAGGGAGCCCCATCTCCCTCACCTCCTCCGATTTTCATTTTCTCCTTTAGGGTTTCTTCCTCTAGTTTGCTTCCATGTATGAGAGAGGTCCACAACTCAAATTGTGACTTGGTTTTCAAGGAATCGGTGGTCGTAACCACCGTGATGTCCTCCGGGATTCATGATTTAGTTGTGTTCTTGATGTGATTTTGGTGTTCTTCACGAGCTCCTTTTGTCCCTTCTTATTTTCCTCTCGTTTCTTCGTTGTGGGATGGTTTTGGTTCGTTCTTGTTGCCTTGGATCGATCAATGACATGAGTAGAAGCTTTCCACCGAAGGAAATCCACTAATTCCTCACGAGATCGTAGATCCGAGCAATTTAAGTTCTTGACCTATTTCTTTGGGGTTTCTTCAATTCCTTCGATTCACGGAGTTAGAGTTTGTTTGGGCCATGATCCTTTAGAGGTTGCCTTTCTACTCGCTTGTGAACCCTTGTGCAAAGTTTCAAGTCATTTGGAGTTGATTTGATCAAGTTATGGCTTGATTTGATTTTTCTCGAGAACTCGCTTTCGTTCATCTTTGGACGTGTCCGATATGATACCGGACGTGTCCGATATTTCTCACTTTGGAGTTTTGAGCTGAAATTTGGTGGAGACCTTCCTTGGTGTCTAAAGAGCTATGGTTAAAATTTCATGATTTTTGGACACCATTTGACAGGGTTTTGATTTTTCTCTTTTGGTCGACTTTGTTGCTGAAAATACCGGACGTGTCCGAGATCATACCGGACGTGTCCGAAAATACCGGACGTGTCCGATATAATACCGGACGTGTCCGATATTTTGCGAGGAGCAGTGCTGTTTTCTTTTGGGAGTTTGCTCGTTTGGGCTTCGATCTTTGTTCCGTTTGCTCTGTGGTGACCCGTTGTGTTCTGAGGGAGTATCCACCCTTCTTTAGGGTCGTGGTCATCAAGTCTTTCGTGAATGCTTTTGGGGATTGATGTTGGGACAAGTGGTTGAAGATTTCGGAAGAAATTTGAGGCTCCCATTCACCCCCCCCCTCGGGTCGCCGTTTCCGGTCCTTCAATTGGTATCGAGCGGTTAAGGATCATTCCACCTTAATCGGTCCGTGATCCACGAAGGCGACATGGAGCGTGGT